ATTGTAACCCTGTTTTAGTGAGAAAGAGTTGAAAAGCTGTTGCTTCTTCTGTTTTAACGGAATTGCCTCCAGTAAAAATTGCTTTCCTTTGCGTGGACATTCTTTGATGATGCAGTTGTGTGATTTTGGCTGGCGTTGTCTTGGCATTTTTTGTGTCGGCTTTAAAGACTTTGCATTATCAACAAGACGTTAATAATACGATATTATTAAGCAAATGAAAGAATTTCAAACCTTCTCGTGTTAAATACTACTCCATAGTAGTGTTTTCATACAAAAATTTGACAAATGAAATTCCATGGTGTTGTATTAATGAAGAAAACCAAACAAGTTCGCTTGATTTTAAAAATACTACTGAAAAACTTGTTTTAATTGCATGTGAGCTAATATTCTAGTAAATTAAAGTATATAGGTCGGTAATTAGTACATAATTCCATCTGCTCCAACGATATGGTATCGAAATTAAACAATTGAATTTCCATGAAATCTTATTGTTTGGGAAAATTAACACAGAAAGATCTTCTTCCAAAAAATGCTTGAATATTCTAATAGAAAAGAAAAACAACACAATATTCAAGAAAAGGAAAGTAGATCAGAGGCTCATCACGAACGATATGCCTAATCCCATTGGGAACCTCCTGAATATGGCTAGAAGAATCTCCATGGAGCCCTATTTATTGTGAACAAAAGGTACTAAAGAAAAATTTTAAGAACACAGATCATGATGTGAAAGTGACCATTTGATTTTCTGCAAAACTACAGCAGTGGACAACACATGTATCAATATTTAGCTTTAACGTTAAGATCTCTACGTAACTTCGTAAATGAATTTCCATCAAAGAGTATTAACTGAGAAAATTAGCGACGTATCCCATGTCTAAAAAATTCTAATATATTTTCAACGTTATAGTAATGCTCTATCAAACATAAAATAGGATCTATCCGAAGGACCTCTTATTAAATATAAACAGTTGAATTCCCATGAAACTGTAATAATGAAGAAATTCAACTCTGAGTGTACCCCCAGCACTAAAATGCTCCGCAGGTGGTAATGAAAAATAATGGCCACTAAATATTCTTGTAAACGAGAGCATTTCAGAACTTCATCACATAGATTCTAATCAAGTTCATCGGATACTATACGAATATGTTTAGTTGAATTCCCGTTGACCTCTCTTAATAGGCGAACTAGCTACGCAATATATTCTCCTTTGCCTGAAAAAGGTTGTTATCGCGAGTTCAACGAATAAACAGATTCTTTACGAGTTAGACAACTTGTGTTGAAATCTTTATCCTTTGATATGATTGATAAGATTGAAACGAAACCTCAGCTTAGGATGCTTCAACTCAAAAATCTGTACCACCAATGTTGTGGCCATTTAAAACCACTTCCCTGTCATCAGACCGATGCTTTGCTGCTGTGTTCTCTTTGTCATTTTCGACGCTCAAAACAAAATCATCCAATAAGAATTGGACGGTCAAAACATCATCTCAAAATCAAGAATTTCATCTGGAACAATAGATTCCTCTTCATCATCTGGAACAAAAGATTCCTCTTGGAAGCACTAATTCAACTCCATGTTTGAATGTGTTTGCTTTATATCCAGCATCAGCAAGTACCATCACACCCTGTAAGTATTTTTGGATATTATTGAAGAACAATACATCTTTGTCATTCTTGCTTCCAGGAAAGCCAACTGTAAAGTGTAAAAATCTGCCTTGAAGATCAACTAACGCTTGTCCGATGAAAGAGTGGATGCATTTGTCACCACGATAATAGATCGCCTAATCTACACTTGGCTTGGAGATACGGAAATGTGTTGCATCAATAGCACCAATTATCAATTTATCAATATTGGAACCTCCCGAGCACTCGAAATTCTGCAAAATTTTTAACTAACATTCTCAGTAAATCAGTTCGTGTTTGGGGACTGAATATTTAATAATAAGTCGAAAAATCAGCTGATTTTCCATACTTATTTCTCGGTGCTTTGTTCCAAATCTGCAGTTCACTAGATTTCATATCTGATTTAATTCATTTCAGTATAAAAGTCAGAAACAATATTTCATTGAATTCAGTAAGAAAATTTTATTATAAAATCAGTTAAGAAATAAGGGACTGATTTGAATTAAAGTCAGTCTTCGAATAAGCGGCTGATTTTTCTGAAATCAGTTAAGAAATAAAGGACTGATTTTTCTGAAATCAGTCTCCGAATAAGACGAGAGGTTGAATTGAAATCCGTCAAAAAATAAGAGACTTATTTGAATTGAAATCAATCTCCAAATAAGACGCTCATTGGAATTGAAAAATCAGTATCGTATTCCACGATACAAGTTACGTCTAAATTCCACCAACAACAAGGCAATTCCAAACTTGGTCGAATAAAAGTTCAACATGCTTACCTTGATTCATGTCCAATATAACAATCATTTGTACAAACTTGATTTAAATTAAAAACAAGTCATTCCTATAAACTTGTTTAAATTTACCACAAACTTGGAAACATGGTATGGCATCTTTAGGCATTTCGTCCAACATCTTGACTTCATTAGAGTCGAGAATTTTAACATGATACAAGCTGTCCTTCTTACTTATCACTAAACCATGACCAAATTCTGGGGCATGAAAAAATCGCCCTTTTAAATTGAAAAGTAAAAGATCTTACTCGTTTCATGGAAATGACTTGATGCAATGAAATGTTTTGAAGTGCTTTGTGGTCCATGTTATTCTTTCCTCCTTGAACAGAGCTAATGATAGATCCAACTAGATCTTCGAGCATAAAAGTACTCATACACCATAGAGGTCCAAGATAGAAAATGGAGCTGTTCAACATGAACAATGATATAATGATGAGCTTAAGTATTAGACTTAAAGAGGAAAATGAATGACTGTATGTGAAGCCAGTGTTAAAATAATAATGTCAAAGTCCATCTCGATGGTTTGTAATATTTCAAAAATTTCCTTTTTCATACTGTACAAAATTTCAAGACTTCTCACCACTGGATGCATGATGATGTGTATAAAAGTGGAAAGTCTATTGAGAATATTATAATGCTTGTCTGATATTTCATCCTTAAAAACCTCAATACAATAAGCAAATATCATGTAGTATTCGATTGCTTTGAAATAACTCAATTCATCCAATCCACGGACTCTTCGGTGATAGAATGAAGGTGTTTTGATTTCATATAGTTTGTCTATCGTTCCTTTAGTAGTGGGAAAATTCTCAAGAAACTCAACTTACTATTAATAGCGTCAATGTTGTACTTATTTTTCAAATAGTTCAGCAATTTGGCACAGAGATCTTCAAGTAAATTATGTCACAAATCACAAGCAATCTGTGTGGTCCATGTAAAGTATGGTAGTCTTACCAAGATTGACAACCCTTTAACACCATCAAATTGCTAAATCTCTCCCTTAATCATTAATTTGTAATTTTCAACAATTTCAGACCAAACATGTTCCTGTTCATTTCCACCCGAGTTATAAATGGTTCGATCTTAAATCTTTCTACCATTTTTTTACACCATCGACAACTTGAGTTCCAGCATGGTTTGTCATGCATAATAAATCATAACATGAGCTTTAAAATTTCTCAATCCAATCAAATCCACCATCTCTGAAATACAAGTTTCAATAGATTTGCTCCAGAAAAAACTGGTAGAACAATCCACATTTTGAACAGCAATGATTGGGAGATTCACATACTTGATCACAGCAATGGTATACCTTTTGATATTGCTTGGATACATTAATAATCTTTTGAGTAAAGTATTGACATTGGAAGGCAACTTACAGGTGTCTGGAAAGAGATCATTTAAGATTCTGAAAATTTCGTTCATCATTACTTTGGTAGCCTTAAATTTGACATACAGCTGTAGCATGTCGAATATTAATTCTCCCAAAGTCTTACCTGAATGAGTGGAAATCGGAGTACGTGAGTTGGGAATTTGATTCATAATCATGACGAGTGCTTGTTTTTGAAACACCTCAAAAAAGTCCTTTCAGTCCTTTGCTTTGTTTAGGACTCTCTTCATACTCGTTAGAGAATTCTTGAATAGGTGATTGATCCTCTTCTAAATTTCTCTTCTTGTTATTCTCACCTTGAAGGCTAGAGTTTGCTTGGTTTGGCTGGGACATATTAGACACTACTACACTGTGTTGCTGTTGAGGTAATTTTGAGCGATGATTCCCTCTAAAAATTACAAATTAGTGTTGTAACAGAGTTACAATCTTAGACACATTCTTGTCACGATAAAGTTTTCTAAGTATAGGGGGCGGAGTTGATAATACTTTTTGAGTGACAGTTGGAGTTTCCAAACACTGAAGATCTATCATTGTTCAAGGGAATAACTGGTATTATTTATACGTTTGTTAAGATAGCATATCCTTCCGTGGTAAACTCTTTGAATTTCTGTTAGAAGTATAGGTGCATCTAACCGTGTTTCATCCAAAGGTTATAACATCACCAATCAAGAAACGTCATTTCTCTTAAGAAGTCTTCATAAGCAAAGCTTTTCTCACAAAAAGAAGAACGATTTTTGGCGGGCTTTATTTTAATATCTGATCAAAAAAATTTATAAGCCATCATGCTCACTCTTTAATCTTTCCTTCTGTAATGACTTCTCCTCGTAATAGGATAGAATCGATAGTAAGAGAGTAATATCAAAAGAAGCGAGTTGTTAAATTGAATGGCTACGGCCATATCACGATGAATGCACCTCATCCCGTCCGATTTGAGAAGTAAAGCATCGTCGAGCTGCATCAGTACTGAGGTTGGAGACAACTTGGGAATCTGCAGTGCTGTAGCCTTTTTGCTAGCATAAATAGCGTTTGGTAAATGGCTCAAATACATTCCATCAACACCGCCTTGAGAGATTCGTGTTGGTTGGTCGGATGCTTGTTTCTTCAAAAAAATGAATTTTGGCGGAAGCGCGTTCGATGAGGTGGAACGAAGGGTTTGTAGTCTGCACTTGTAGTAGTATTCAGAGGAATTGAAACATCATGTTGAATCAAAATATATAATCAGAAATTGCTAGAAGAGAATGAATTATTGAGAAGAGAAATTGAAGATTTAAAACATTTAAACAAGGAATTAATGTTGGAGAGTGATGATAACGATGCCCGAATTATCAAAAACTACAAGGCAAAAATTGCTCAATTGGAAAGACAAGTTCAATTACTCACCAAATGTAATAATATTAAATCGGAATCAATTTCAGACATTGATAATTTTATTTCAGAGATTGTTGGTGATGAAAATGATTCATCACCGCTGGATAGAGCTCAGGTGAGAAAATGGGGAAAGATGATTCAAGAAAAGATTCGAAACTACAACATTATGACAAAACAAGCAGAAAATCAAAAATATTATATGGAGAGCAAATACCTTGGATCAGCAGGCCATCAAGATACTATTCAAAATGTTTGCAATTATTCCAAGAATGATGATATACCCTATCTTGATGTTACCAATGTATTGGAGCTTGAGAATGATCTCATTCATGTTTATAGAAATCTGTACAGAATGCGAACTCACCTAACGAACAACAAGGACACTATTAAGGACCCTAACTTTGTATTATTATCCAACATCACCACCAACAATATTTCTAAAATATTGAATGAAATGGTAGAACTCTCTCTGATACTTCCAAAGAAAGATAAATCTTCCTCGAGTGAAGAGATCAGCTCCTCATATCATCAATTCTATAACCCAATGTCTCTTAGCACAGCGGAGGTGATGTCAAAACTTCCAAGAATTGGAAATTCAAAAACCTCAAAGGATCTTGAGGACAGTGTTAAAAACTTGGTAAGAGCGTTTCATGCTCAAAAATCCCTATTTGAGATTGATTTACAGCTGAAACAGGAGGAGCTTAATATTTCCACAAAAACGAGTAGTTTCTACAGTTCATACATGAGCGAATTGCTAAAGGAAATTGATCAGAAGTACAAAGAGTACACCAATCAAATACAGCCTCTTCTCCAAGAAGGTCTCTACCAAAACAAAAGAAATACATTAGAAGAAATTGTTCATGCATTTGAGGAGTTCGATAAGGACAGCACTGAAGAGAATCTACGAGCATTTCTCCTAGCGTTTAAAGACAATATCTATTCAATGTTGTCAGATGAAGACAACAAAGGACCATTGACGAAAAAACCAAAATCATCAAATATCAATATTAAGGGTTATTATGAGAAATTTAAAAGACACATTGAAGAAATTCAAACTGAGTTTGAAATCAGAAAAAACGAATTTATTGAGAAAATGTATAATCTAAATCCTGAGGTTGAAAAGTATGAACACATAGAGCCATTCATCAGTTACACTCCCTATGATAATAGATCCTCAGTGTCTAAAAACCGCCATCTCTAAAAAGGTCATCCACAGTTGCTCAATCGAATGGTAATGTGAAAATATCATCCAATCGATTGTCAATAGTGAGAAAAGAGCCGATCAAAGCTCAACGATCTATTGATGTGGGAGTGAATGAAAATGTAGCTTCCTCATCTGAATCCCAGGTGACACCAAAAATTACTTCAACCAAACAAGAAACTTCCAAGCTTAATCCAAATGTTCGAGAAATAGCACAAAGAGTGGAGGATCAAAAACGAAGAGTGCAAACATTAACAGAAAGTCTATCTGTGAGAGGTATTTCAGATATGCAACATTATGCAATTTCCAAACAAATTGTACGTATTTATTAATAACTTTTAACCCTTTCTTAACATTTTTCACCACGATACCATAGAAAACCGAGAAGGCTGAGTTGTTGAAACTAGAACGAACATTAAAAAATCTTCAAGAATAAATAGAAAATGCTTTATATTTACACCAAGGTACTCAATTCTGAATGAATAAAGTCCTCCCACTGCAGTTATTCAATATCAAATAGACTTTCTTCACCATTGGAAACAGCAACGTCAACTGGTGTTTTCTCGGTGTTGGTAGAGATTTGATTTGTTTCTGAGCTAGTCATGAGGGCAGTTGCATCAGGAGTTTTGAATTCTTCAACTTGTTCATCAACATTAGTTTCGTTTTCAGAGTCATCTATTGATTTTTCAGTTTGTTGTGCTTGTTTCCTTGCGTTCTCAACCAATCGTTCAAAAGCCTCAAAGTTTTTTCTTTCCTTTTCTTTCTTTTCTTGTGCAATTCTTTTTCTCTCCTCACGCTCCTCTTCCACTCCTCCTCGTTTCCAAGCATCCACTGTTCTTCTTTCATCCTCAAAAATTGGCATATTGTCTAAATAATTTAATGAAGGAATTTGGGAGATAATTTCCTTTCGATAATTCGGAATCATTCTCACAAGTGGGTTTCCCTCAAGCCGAAGTAATTTCAATTCTGTGAGAGATTTCAAAATGGCTAGAAATTCTTCAATGACTTGCTCTTGAGTCATGTTTTCGGGAATTGTGTCAAAAGTTTGTTCTTACTTAGATCTAAAATTGATAATTTGGAACAGTATCTCAATGCCTTCACAGAGTCCAATGTTCTTAATTGATTGCTATTCAAATCGAGAGTTTGAAGATTGGTGCAGTATTTTCCCAACTCTTCCGGAATATGGCTAATAAAGTTTTCCGAAATGTTCAATGTATGAAGCTGTTCGCAATGGAAGATCCCCTCAATATGTTCAATACAATTCTGATGAATGTATAGACAGGCCAACTCTTTCAAACACTCCAAACCCTCAATTTTGTTGACAGCATTTGACTCGAGCCACAGTACTTTCACTCCGGTAAACTTATCCAAATTCTCAATTTTTGTTACACCCTTATGCTGAAGGTAAAGCTTCTCATTCAGCTTTTCCGTCATGTATCCTCCTTTGCTTTTACATAATCTTCTCAAGTAATCATTGGTGATCTTTCCATTTGGGAGGCGATCGAGGTCTTCGTTTCGTGACATTTTTTTTGTATTTTGGAAAGCGGGCTCTTCAAATACAATGTCAGAATGTAAAACAACCATGTAAAATTTCAGCACATACAAAAATCCCTTGAGTTGTCGAATCTTTACTTGGAAGCTGTCTTCTTTCCGTACAATTGTTCCTTCATCTTGGTGAATTGTTCTTTACCGACCTTCTTGGCAGCAATTTCTTCTAAAACGCCAAAATCAATTTCACCTTCCTCGTCACTCTTTGAGCCAGTCAATTCAATGACAGAGTCAACCATCGATACAATACCATCAAAAACTTCATAAGGAGTTGGATTCTTGCCCATGTATGCAGGAGTGGTTACCAATTTGTTATCCTTGTCAACAACAACTTGGTTTGCTGCTTTAGGCAAACAAGTTGCACCAAGAGCTCTGGCATTTTCTGTGGTGGCTGGATCGGAATCTCCCAAAGTGATTGAGCACTTTGGAATGAGCTTGGCAGCCAAAATTGGAGCAATACAACACATTCCGATTGGAATCTTGGCTTCGTGAGTGGAAACGATGGCCTTCTCAACTTCAGGATGAATCTTAAAGTTTGATGGGCTTTCAGCGTAATTACTCAAGTTTTTAGCAACACCGAATCCACCTGGAATAAAGAGAGCTTCGAAAGATTGTGGTCTGTATTGTTCCAATTTGAGAACGTTTTGTCTGGTGATTCTAGAAGCTTCAGAACGGATATTTCTCACTTCATTCTTATCCAAAGTCTTTGAAAGATGATCATAAGTTTCTTCTTGATTGATATCCGGAGCAAAGAATGCAATCTTGTATCCCATCTTTGATAATTGAATCATCACGCTCACAGCTTCGGTAATTTCGGTACCATCAAGATAACCACATCCACTCAATAAAACGGCAACAGAACCCTTCTCGGTTGGTGTTGTTTGAGCAGCATAATTCTGTATTGTGGTTGGTGAGAGAAGAGAAGGAATGATGATCCTTGCTTGGCGAAGGAGGTGTTGCAGAGTGATTTGGTGATGAGAGTGGATGCTCTTCTGAACATTTTTATGGTTTTTTGTTTTTACAATGAAGATGGAAGAATTTTTTAGCAGAGCAATAAGCAACTTGGCCAATCCATTTAAATTGTTAGAGTTTTCTGATGACTGATGTGTTTGAAGCAAGTAGAGAGGTGAGCCATTCCTTGTCACAACAAGTGTGTTATTTTGTTAACTTTTATGACCAAGTCGTCAACAGCCTCTACCACAAAGTCAAATGAAATGTTGAGAAATGGTCAATCGAGTCACTTCTCTATTGATTGTGGTGGAGCCCTTAGGACTAGCGGTTCTGTTTAAAGGCATCATAACCTTGTGCTAACAAATCAAGAGGAGGTTCTTCTTCCTGATATTCTCCCAATTCATAAGTATAACTGCTAAATGGATAAAGAAACGATTCATCTCCATCCATGTCTTCTCCCTTCGAAGGATCTTGGCACATTTCCTCCCAAGCTTGTTTACCTTGAGAAATCACAAGACACATGGCATACAAGCCTCCGTCATATTCAAAGCAACTCAAATCCTCCTTTCTAGAGGCTTCATAGAGAGTGTTCGTGGTTTTATCAAACTCATTCTCGAGTTGATGAATGAAATCTAAATAACCTTCTTCCACAATCATTCTTTCAAGATAGGAGGCATCTCTATTTGCTTTTTCAATGAGGGCCCAAAATAATTCATTGATATTCGATGCAGCCTTTGTTCTTCTATTGAATTTCAAATACAAATTTGAGTATTCATTGAGATGTTTGAGTCTTCTCGAATAGAAGGGAAAATCTCGTTGCATACAAACATCGTACATGGCATCGGAAGTGGACATCTCAAAGAAAGCCTTGCAAACGAGACTACACTTTCGGAGAGTGTGATCTTCTCCAGCTAGATAACTAAATATTTGATCTTGAAAGACTTCAAAAGGAATTTGAACAAGAGAAGACTTGGTTGATAAGGAGGATGAAGAGAGTATTTCTTTGAACCATTCAATGACATTTGTGGGAATTGGTATCAGTGCATGTCAGACGGATGGGGTGATAGGTTCTTTGACACGCTTTGGTGTGCGTGTTTGTTGCTGCGTATAATGTTTTTTTCAAGTTGACATCAAAGTTCGGACAATACCTCCTGTAGATCTCATCACTTCCGTAAGAGTGTGGGTTTTGAATTTGCACTTTCCAATATGTTCAATTTTTTAATCCTCACTCGTTTTGCTCCAGTTTGATCCCACTTGGGTCAATCACACTTTCAATAAAATTTTTTAATCCTCTGTGAACATAAGAGATCGTGAAAAATTGAACACACAACAACAACGACTCTGAAAATGATTGGCATGACGACTAGCGATGATGATGATGCAAAGAAAACGCTCTCTCACCAACAAATCTCTGCTTTTTGGAGAGATTTTCTCATGATATCCAGCGGATCATCCATTTTGAAAGAAATTATTCCAAAATATCAGAATTATAAATCGACAGAAAATATTCTCTATGCAAAGTATAATGGATTTCCGTCACGTTTTCACGCAAAAGTGTTTTACAGCTTGACAAATGAAAGATTGAATTGTGAAAACATGGATAGTTTTATTTCGGCCTATTCAGAACTTTCGGAAAAGCCACAAGAATGAAAAGAGCTCTACAATGTGAAGAGGAACATTAAACAATTGGTGACATTTGTGGATTCTGAAACACCCAATGCATTTAAGAGGAAGCTTTTACAAGCCTCTCCAGAACATTTCAAAAGAATTCCCTACATGATCATTCATGGAAGATATTTACCTCAACAAGCAAGTTTTTTGTTGTTTTATTGGATGGAGTTTATTGAAGGAGAATTAGAAAAGAGAGACAGAGAAATTGAGAAGAGAGAGGAGAGTGAATGGATCCCTCTCGTCGCTTCGCGACTCACTTTGATTCACCGTCTCAAGAAGGCACTGGTTTGGTACACACATGGTGAAACAGATAAGATTGAGAATTACATTAATAGGAAAAATAATTCACAAACACTGCCAGTGTTAAGGGGATCGTACATGCCAGATCGTTTCAAACCGTTGATTACTCTTCCAAAAATCAATATTCAAGTGGTGAATAAGATTTTGAAAGATGCTGATTTGCAACCCATTAATATTGAGAATATGAATACCCTTTCAGAGTATTACAACTTATTGGATACATTGGAGAAATTGTGTGGAGTTGGAGAACATTGTGTTCTCAAGTACAGTCTTAGAAAACGAAAGAATTCTCCACCTACTAAAACAGCAGTGTATTGCAATCTGTTGAGTCATGATGAGAGAAAACAAAAGTTGCACAAGAGTTTGTGGCACTTTCGCAAATACAACAAATGTTTGGCAATTGTTGGCAAGTTGAGAGGAAGATTGGAAACAGTTTTTGATCCTTTCGTCACTGGTCAATCTGCTCGAGTAGACAAGAGTGGAATGATTACCCTGAATTTGAAGACTCATCATTATTATTTCAACGAAAATAGTGTCGAGTCGATCATTAAGGATATTGATATTCCATCCATTATATTTTCTTGTGTTGCAGTGAGCGTCTTTTCATTAAGAAAGCAATTTACATTAAGGAGTCAAATGCAAGGCTCATTAGACCCATTCTTGTCCTATATTCTAAACATTTGTAGAAACAGGGCAGGAGAAACTAAATGGGATCTCATTGCATCGATTCATCCTTTGGAAGATGTCATAAACAACTTGAGCGAGAAGGAAGCTCAACACATGTTAACACAAATAATGTCCTATCAAATTCCAATTGCAAAGTTCATGCAGGCTCAATGGGAGAAGTGTGTCAATGATTGTGTTAAATCAAACATGAAAGTTCCAAGAGCTGGAACAACAAGTGTCAATTCCACAGGTTGGAATGTTGTTGTGAGTGCTTATTGCAATAGTTTAAGATTCATCAGAACTCTGTGTCATTCTTTAGATATCAAACCTCCTCTTCTCATCAAATCTATGAGATTGACTGCAGCGGATCAAATGTATTGGGCAAAACTATATGGAATGCCTCTATGCTCGGATCTTCTAGTATTTGAAGAGTTAGCAAGGAGTGGAATTACTCCATGGGGTATCATTTTAAATCAGATTGCAAATATTTCTCCAGACAAAATAATCAAAATTTGCGCAAATCATAAGGTGGATCCATCAGGCTGGTTAGGAATCCGTGAATCAAAATATAGATATACAGACAAGTCTTCCAACGAATATCATGATCAAATCTGTGGAGTATGCGTGCCGAACGATCAATTTGTTCAAAATGTTCTCAAAACTTTAGGGGCATTTGGATATAAATCAAAAAAGTAAAGGGGCCTCTTGTCATCTTAATAATCATCTACATTATGAGGCATGTAATAATCTCCATCTTGGTTCACTGATTCTTGTTCAACATGTTCATTTACATAGAACATTTCTTCGTCACTGTAATAGTCTCTATCTAATGAGGCAGTAATGTTCAACCATTTCCTGCTGGCATGAGGGTTATCAACTTCGTCATTCATGGTTTTCCGTTTTTTAAATACTCCACCCATTTTTCTAAAAGCTAAGACAATCAAATCTCGAATATTGTCAGGAATCAAAATCACAAGCAATGAAGCATTTGCTACCATTTCAATGAAACTGAATATGTAGTACAACACAAAGTAATATTCCCATAACGTCTCTGGTTCTCCTTTCACCCGGAAAATTACAAAACTTGAAATATTGTAGAAAGTTAAAACAAAATAGCAGCTGGAGGAAAAGCAAGTTATGAAAGCTAGCTTCATAGTGTTAAGGGTAGAAACAGCGTAATGGATTTTAAAAAATCTAAAGAGCTTAATTCCAAAAATTAATAACAAGAAACAAATTGTCAAGCTAGTGATTACCCGTACTACTAGTCGTATTGTTTGAAAAGTTATCTTCTTGTAGTACATGATTTTAGGATCAAGTACAAATATCAAGATTGACAATGCAAGTAATATTATTGTTAATAGAGCAGCAGCAACCCAAAAAAAGAGAGAAATGACACTTCTCTTCCTTCTAAAATCATGTTTGTTTGGAATTCTCTTTTCTTGCTCCTGTTCCAAAGTTTGTTTAAACGTAAAATATAATTCTGCCCAGTAGCAGCTAAGTACAAAGTAAATTAGGAAATTAAACTCGCTGGAAAATAAATCTAGAGCTTGACTTGTTCGATACATATAATCACAATAATTGAACGGGATGTAATCATTTGATTTAAAACAAATCTGGCTAATAACCCCACATTGCAATAATCTCGTGGTACTGCTCAAAAAGATAAACCCGAAAAGCCTTCTTTGAAGAGAGATTTGTTTTTTTAAACAGTCCTCGTGTCCCCAATGTCCACACCAAAGCAACACTGGCAATCATAAAATAACCAATTGCTTGAGGTAATTGTTCATAATTCACTACATGTTGGTCCAAATCAGGCATTTTCAAAATTTGTTCATCCTATGGAGAGAGTAGGTCAACGGTTGGATCCGCGTATTGAGGTGCCTCAATTTTTTTTTGAAACACAATAACACTGGCAGTTATGGTGAGGAAAGTGCTTTCAAATTGGCGCTTAGAAATGGAATGAGAGAGTAGAAGTGGACATTTTGTTTCAAAGAGGCGTCGTCAACTAATACCCACAAGATTGGGTAATTACATTGAAAACTTGATCACGTTGTGTTTCAATTTTTTTAAGAGGGTTGAACCGAATTCGGAATAATTTACAAATACGCTGTCTTGTGTACGATGAAGCAAGCCTTCGTTTAAATTGCATCATCTGGTACAGAATAAACAGCTTGGGCCATGCACTCTGATATTTTGAGGCCTCGTGTGATGATCTTTCTCTTCCTTTGAAACTTCATGCTGTCACTAATTAAGAAAATGTTCGAAAAGTTGGAATTTTTCTTTGCCCTTCTGCAGTTGAAGCTTGGTGTGAAGGAGTCCTGAGCCATATGATGGCCGAAAGTTAGAAGCTCTCTTCATGATGATGCAAACAAACGGTGGCCCATCAGTGAAGTGGTAGGGCAACTCGTTCTCGAAGGAGTCCTTTCTCCTTGCCGTGTGTCCGATGTTAAACAAATGGACATTTTTCAACGTTCTTCTTCCTTGCCGTTGAGTTTCAAGAAACTCTTGCTCGCAAACAAGAAGCTTCACATTTTCTCCTTCCAACAACAGCGATTTTCAAAAGTTACTCAAAAAAATTTGACCACAAACATTGGCCGCTCTCTCTCTCTCATTCATTGAAGAGAACAATTTTGAACAACAACATAGCGGATTCATTCGAGTCATTGGCTCATCTATTTCATCAATTATTAATTCTCCGATTTCATCATTACCATTAATCGTAACACTTTTTCATCATGTCTGCGTTAAGTCCAGTTGTGGATACACAGTCCAATCGTGGACTCTTTGCCAACATTGAAGAATACATTCGTGTGATGGGAGGAAATAAACCAATCAAGAAGATCCTGATAGCAAACAATGGTATTGCAGCTGTTAAAGGAATTCGTTCAATGAGAAAGTGGTGTAACGAAGTTTTTGGCAGAGCCGATGAAATTAAATTTGTAGTAATGGCAACTCCTGAAGACATTCAGGCCAATGCAGAGTATGTCAGATTAGCAGACGAGTTAGTGAAAGTGCCTGGTGAATCCAATTTCAACAATTATAGCAATGTCAAATTAATTGTAGACATTGCCGAACAATACATGTGTGATGCTGTTTGGCCTGGCTGGGGTCACGCGAGTGAAAATCCTGAATTACCTTTCTCTCTTTCTCAAACTAAACGAAAAATCTCTTTTATTGGTCCTGATGCCTTGCCAATGGAAGCTCTCGGAGACAAGATTTCTTCAACAATTTTGGCTCAAGCTGCTGGAGTTCCTTGTATTCCTTGGTCTGGATCCCATGTTACCTATGATATCGCAAAAGATGGTTTGCCAATTCCTGAAGATATCTATTTGGAATGTTGCATCACTTCAGAGAACGAAGCACTCGAATGTGCTCATAAGATTGGTTATCCAATCATGATTAAAGCATCAGAAGGTGGTGGTGGTAAAGGTATCCGAAAGGTTACTAATGACGTAGAATTGAAGTTAGGATTTCAACAAGTCAAAATTGAGGTTCCAGGTTCTCCTATTTTCCTCATGAAACTCTCAAGCGAATCAAGACACTTGGAAGTACAAGTGGTAGCTGACAAACACGGAAATGCAATTGCACTCTATTCAAGAGATTGCTCTGTCCAAAGAAGACATCAAAAGATTATTGAAGAAGGTCCAGTAACGATTGCTCCAAAGCAGGTTGTTGATACTATGGAGGCAGCTGCTGTCACACTCGCAAAAAGCGTTAATTACAGTGGTGCTGGTACAGTAGAATACTTGTATGAACCATCTACTCAGCAAGTATACTTTTTAGAGTTGAATCCTCGGTTGCAAGTCGAACACCCTGTCACTGAATGGATTACTCTTACGAACATTCCTTCAATTCAGCTTCAAATTGCCATGGGTATTCCTTTATACAACATGGCAGACATCAGAAGATTCTTTGGTGTTAAATTGGAGGACGTGTATTCGCCATCTGTTAAAGTTGATGTGAATGATGCTAGCAAGAGACAACCCCC